GAGATCAGCCCAAAACCACCCGCTTGAATCGTCCTGAATCGTTTTGTTGACGCTCCCGAGGCCCGGCGAGGGCCCCCGGCGGCCGAGATCAGCTAAGAACCGCCCGCTCCAATCTCTGCTGGCGCGTCGGATCTCTGGGTAGGGGGGGAGGACATGCAGTCGGGGAGGGGCGGGCCCTCTCCCCTCCTCCTCATCCTCCTTCTCCTCCTCCTCCTCCTCCTCCTCCTTCTTCTCCTTCTCATCGTCCTCCTCCTCCTCCTCCTCATCCTCGTCCTCCTCCTCCGCCGCCTCCTCCTCCTCCCCACCTCCTCCTCCCTCGTCCTCCTCCTCCTCCTCCTTTTCCTCCTGCCCCTTCTCCTGCAGAAGAGGCTGGCAGCAGAGTGGCTTGACCTCGAGCGAGCCTCGCACGAGCACGGGCGCCGGGCCTCCCAGGGGCTCCGACTTCCCCGAAGCGTGATAACATATGGAGAAACGGCGGAGGGCTTCCCGCCATGCTCGGCCTCTGGGGGCCCTCGCCGGGCCTCGGGATCCTCCAAAGACCGCTCAGGGCGAAACACCTGGGCGGCGCGCACCTGGAGGTAGGGGGGGGAAGGCTTCTTAGAAGCACTCCTGCTTCTTGGAGGGCGCGGGCCTTACATCGTGGGCAGCCAAGAGGAGAGCGTCAATGAGGGGGGGGCGCAAATCATGGCCCGCGGCATGTGCGCGGCCCAGGGGGGGGGGGCCGGGAACGTGATGAAGCATGGAGAGGAGCCATGAAGTCTGTGGAAATATCATGGCCCCCGCCATGATATCCACACCCCCCTAGTCATCACCTCGCTCTTTGCCGCCGCCCCGACAGGGAGCACTGGCACACTTTTGGCCGTGGGGCCGCGGGGCGCAGTCACAACAAGGCATTGCTCCATCATCAGGGTTTTTGGGTTTAGGCGCCCGCTTTCAACTGGCAAAAAAAGGCAGGGTGTGCGAAGTGCGAGGCGGGTCGGGATCTTTTCTTGCAATACGAGCCCCACCTTGTCGAGGGGAAGAAAAGTTGCTCAACTGCACCAGGACACGCAACAGAACAGCTGCAGAAAAGTTCAATGGTGCGAGGGTGCCCTGGACTGACGACATGCGTGAACCTTAACTTTCGGAGGTCCGCGCGGATTTTCCAAGTTCAGCCACGCGCAGAGGGGCGTGGGGAGAGGGGGGAGGGCTTCTTAGAAGCACCCCTGCTTCTTAGAAGGCGCGGGCCTTCTCTATAGATGCAGGGCTGGCGCCTTCTAAGAAGCAGCCTCCTTTGAAGAAGCGCTCCCCCCTCCCCCCACCCCCCTCTGCGCGTGGCTGACAAGTCGGCGCGATGCCGAACATCTTCTGACGCCGCCTCCAGCGCTGCACCTGGAGCGCCTCCCGGGCCAGGGTGCGGCTTCCAGCGTCGACCCCATCAGTCCGCGCGGATCTCGGAGTTGTCGTGCATGCCGGGGGCGCGCAAACATGGATTAGCGACCCATGGACTTGGCGCGCGGTCGCCAAATCCATGGATCGGGGGAGGTGCCCTCCCCAAAATGCGGCCGGTGCCGCCTCGTTCGGCGGCGGAAATCTGCGATTTCCCATGGAAATGGCCCGTCGCTAATCCACGCGCCCTTGACCCATGTTTGCGATCGCCTGAGCATGGGGTCCGGCATGAACACAAGCTTTCGGAAGACGCGCGGATTCCTCCAATCGGCGCTGGATCCCCCCACCCTCCCTGGTGAACAGAGCGTGTAAGACGCGGCGCCAGAGGCGCCGCCAGGGGAGTCCAGTGCAGTCCAGCGCAGATGCAAGACACCCGCGCGGACCTCCGAAAGCTCACGGTTGTGCAAACAATTGTTGCTCGACGTCTCTCGCTCCTGCCCCCTCCCTTCTCTCCCCTCCCCTCACCTCGACCCCCCTTCTCTCCCTCCCTCCTCCCCTCTGCAGAATTTGAATACTTGGAGGGGTACCGTGCTCACCATAGCCCGATCCCGCGCACAGGACCCGTGTGGGCGGGGTGCTGACGGGAGGAGCAGCTGTATGCTCTACCGCCCATGGAGGAGAAGAACGCGGGGACCACGACCAAGACTGAACGTGGAAACGTCGCGTCAATCTTGGTCACGGTCGATCCTGGTCGGCGTCAATTCGTTGATCATCCTCGCGAATCGGCGACGGCCGACGTGGACCATGACTAAGATCGGCATCGACCAAATCCCGCGACATCTTGGTCATAGTCCCCGCACTTCTCCCTTCAGTTCCATGCCCTCTTCTGAAGGACTCTATTTTCCCTGTCACTAAGCGCACACTTCGAAAAGCCTCTCACGCCATTCCCATCAGCTCGCATTGCGAATCTAATCGCATTGCCACTAAAACAGTGACGCCAAGCTGGCTCGGGAAAGACCCTCTATATTCACGCGAGGGCCTATTTAAAGGAAGAGCGTCAGGAGGTAGAGGCGGAAGAGGAAGACCAGGATACTTAGAGGGCGTTTCTTTTTGTTCGGCGATGACAGGCATCCATGAGGGGGGGGGGGGGGGGGGCGACGGGGGGGTATGACGCAACGCCCCCCCCGCCTTGCGACTCCAGCACCGCAGCCGCGCCCGCGCGCGCGACGCGACGAGCGACGGGAGACGACGACGACGACGACGACGACGACGCGACCAGCATGTAGGTGGCGATATGCCCCACTGTGCTTGTGTACGCCACAACGCTCGCGTGCAACACAGCGCGCGCGTGTATACCACAGCGCCTGCGCACACTGCAACAACCGGTGCAACGCAGCGCCTGTGTACACCACAATGCTTGCGTACACTACAGCGCCGGTGTACATGTGTACACCGCAGCTACCATGTGCAACAAAACGCCTGTGTACACCACAGTGCTTGCGTGCACCGCAGCGCCTGTGCACGCCACAGCGCGTGTCTACACCACAACATCCGCGTGCAACGCCGGTGTAACCACAATGACAACGCCTGCGTGCATAGGACAGGTGGAACGAGCGTGTACGTGAGGATTTGCTGCGGAAAACTAGACGCCATTCCAGGAAAGTGCTGATAATCGAATGCGACGTTTTTCCCTCCTCCCTCCTCCTCCACCTCTGCCACCTCCTCCTCCTTCCTCCTCATCATCATCCTTTTCCTTTTCTTCCTCCTCCTCCTCCCTCTCCTATTCCTCCTCCTCCCCCTCCTCTTTACCCCCTGTCGTGCGGGTTGGCGCTACAGCGCACGTGCGCGTCTCAGCGCGCACCGCATAATGGTCGAATCGGTCCACTTAGTTCTCGGACGGCCAATTCACCTGGAGACTCCTAGACGCAGCTGGGATGAGTTAGAGTGATGCGGGCGGACTCGGGAGGACTCGTAGATTCCAGCGGCGCTCCGTTTTCCACAAGAACTTGCTTCTATTGGTTCTTGTGGAACCCACAAGCGCTCCATTTTGTCATAAGGATTTGTTGTGACATTCTATATGCAACAGTGGTGCTGTGTTGCACACGGTTGCTATGGTGCACACAAGCGCCGCGGTGCACGCAAGCACTGCAATGCACGCAGGCATTGTGGTGTACACTGGCGCTGTGTTGCGCACGCGGCTGCTGTGGTGTACATAGGTGGTGTGGTGTACACAGGCGCTGTGGTGCACGCTTGCACTGTGTACACAGGCGCTGTGGTGCAAATCGCCACCTACATGCTGGCGCTACCCGTCCTCCGTCATTCCTAGGCATTCCCATACGCCGCCGGCGCGAAACGTGACGTCATCGTCCCCTTCCACCCCCCCCTTGATAATTGCCGTCATCGGCCCGGAACTAAAAACATGCTTCAGCCGCGTCCGCGCGCACGACGACTATGAGCGACGAGCGACAAGCCACGGGCGACGACGACGACGACGAAGACGACGACGACGACAACGACGACGACGACGACGACTGCGGACCAGACGCCTATGCGGATTCCTACGCGGACACCTACGCGGATCCCAATGCGCACGGCCGCAAGGGGGGGAGAGCGTTACGTCATAGGGGGGGGGAGCGGGGGCCATGACGCCCATCATGCCCAAAGCAATGAAGAACCGGTCTCTTAACGGAGGATGAGAAGGGCAAGGAGGAACAGGAGCAGGAGCAGATCCGAGTAGCAGGTCGGGTAAGAGAGTTTCCATGGCATAACAATGCGGATGAACCACCAACGTCAGCGTTAGCATTAGCAACAACACATAATCTTCATCGATGGCATTCAGGACAAGAAACTAGATGCCGGAAACGATCCTAGCAAGCGACACTAGAATGCTATCGCACTGCTAGTCTAGAATATTGGCCCAACTGCCGCGGCGTCACCGCAACCATCTGTCACGGAATCGGAATGCCAGGTTTGCGGGATTAGCTAAATAATACTAATAATAATGATGATACTATTAATACTGATAACCAATAAATAGATATTAACAATCAGAGCCATTAAAAACACGAATAATAAAAGTTGTAATAATAATGATCATAATACAAATCCTACTACTACTACTACTACTACTACTACTACTACTACTACTACTAAGAAGAATAATAAGAAGAAGACAAATAATAACAAGAAACCGAGCAATCAACACTATGCACACGCATGTGAATCCCTCACCCCTGGAGGGAAAGAGGTTCCGCCACGGGAACCCAGCTCCGGTCCAAAAGGTATGGCTGTGCCTCGATGTCTGTGCCGTTGTTCCTTTTCGAGGGAAGGGATTGTCACGGAACGATGATCGGGGATGGACAGACCTCCCTTTAGTAAAACGTGGTTTAGTGAAAACGACCTGAGGCCCAGACCTGGCGGGCGCAAGCCTGGAAAATAACGGCCACGGCGCCATCTCGAAAACCGAAAACGGACAATTCACTAATCGACGTGTCACTGTTGGGGGTTCTGCCCACCCCCGAGATGAGCCCTTAGTCTCACCTGTCCGGCACGCGCGGCGCGCCCAGCACTGTACACACCGGGGCGCCGCGCTCTCGGCGTGTATAAAGGCCGGGGCGCGGCGCCGGCGCCGCTCACTGCAGCTGCTTCCGCTCCAGCGCCCCCCCCTGCCGGGGTCGGCCAAGAGGGGGGCGTCCAAGTGGGGGGGGCGCAGATCATGGTCGGCGGCACGTGCGCGGCCCAGGGGCGGGGCCAGGGGCGTGATGAAATAAGAAGAGGCGCTATGGAATCTGAGGAAATATCATGGCCCACGCCATGATATCCCCCCCCCCAGGCATCACCCCCCTCTTGGTCGAGCTCAAGCGGGGGGGGGGGAGGGTCCATGAAACCGGGGAGGGCAGCGGGGGGAGGAAGGACGTCGTCGTCATCATCGTCCGTCGTGGACCCCGTCGTCGGTCGTCGTCGTCGTCGTCATCGTCCGTTCCCACACGCATCGGGAGCGCCCCGGATCGGCGGCACTGGCCGGAGGCCATTACAATATCATGGCCCACGCCATGATATCCCCCCCCCCAGGCATCACCCCCCTCTTGGCCGCCCCCGATCCTTGTAGTCGGCGAGGAAGCGCTCCACGGAGGCGACGGTCACCTCCGAGCCCTCCGCCGCGAGGTAGTAGCCGCCATCGTCGGGGATGTCGACGGCCGGGCAGTGCCGGGGAGGGGCCGCGCCACTATGTGGGGTGGGCCGCCACCACTCCTCGAGGCAGCAGTGGGCCCGGGACCGAGAGACGCCCAGAAACGTCCAGAACCTCCTCGATCAGCGGTCCTCACTGCGCCTCCTGTTCCCTGGCCTCCTCCGGTTCACTCCTCCAGCCTCCAATACGCCGTGCGCTGTGCGTTGTAGCGTCGATCCGGATGCAGCCACCCCTCTCACTCCTCCTACCCCTCCTCCTCCTCCTCCTCCTCCTCCTCCTCCTCCTCCTCCTCCTCCTGCTCCTCCTCCTCCTCCTCCTCGACCCTCGATTTCAGAGAAAGGGTGGCCGTCCCCCCTACAGGTGGTAACGCCCCTTCGGGGCACTGCCCGGGATGAGGACCATACGCGGAGCCGCCTTGGCGTCGGGTGTCTCCGGAAGGCCCACCATGCCGCGGATTCTCGGGGCGAGCTCCGCCCCATTTGTCGCCAGCATGAAGCAAAAGTCCGGGTCCTGTTCGGCTGCCTTCGCCTGCTCGATGTACTTCGCCGCCAGGGGCTCGAGGGCCTCGGGAAGAAAGGAGGGGGGGGGAGTGGGGTTGGGTCGGGCTTGGGGTGTGAGGGATCGGAGGTGTAGAGGTGTGCTCTATGTCTTCAGCACAACCCTCTGAACCACTGAGGTCGCAGTCTGAAGCCAGGGTAGCTTCGAGGGACAGGCAGCGGGGAGAAGGGGGGGAGAGGTGAGCCGGGAGGGTTTTGGGAAGAGGGGAAGGAACACGGGGAGGAGAAGGAGAAGGAATAGGATGAGGTCGAGGCGGGGGAGGTCGAGGAGCGTCGCCTGCGTCAGGGCGTCCACCCCAGCGGTGTCGCTGGACTCGCAGAAGATCAGCAACGTTGGCACCTCGTTGATGTCTCCAGGGCCGTCCGCGAGCTGCTTCACGATCTTCGGGTGCCAGGGCATCGCGGCCCCCGTGGGGTCGGCTGCGACGGCGCCGCGACCATCGGTCGTGATCACGTTCAACTCCGCGTCCAGGATGGCGAGGGTCGGGATGCCCTCAACCTTCAGGGCCTTGTTTAACTTCTGCTGCATATCCCTGTCGGCGTAGCTCAGCGCCAGCCAGGGCTGCTCGGCGAAGTACTCCTGGAAGGAGGCCTCGTCCCTGTCGGAGGACACGAAGACCACCTCGAGGCCCTTGGCCTGCAGGTCCTTCTTGTACCATTCGGCGAGCTGGGGCGTGAAGCCGCGGCAGGGCGGGCACCAGTGCGCGCTGAAGTAGAGCGCGAGCGCCTTCTTCTCCTGCATCGCCTGCTGCATCGTCAGCTCGCCCGAGGGCCCGACGAGCTTCGCCTCGGCCAGGAGCTCCTTCACCGGCCTCGGCCTCCACGGAAGCTCCGCGCCGGTCGGGTCGTCGCTGACGGCAGCTCGGCCTTCCGTCGTGGTGACCTTCCCGTCGGAGTCCAGGATCACCAGCGAGGGGATGCCTCTCACCTTGAATTCTGGATGCCATGACAATGGACAACCTAACAATCCGATCACTGCATCCAAACTGTGTTCAAAATCTAGGAAACATGCGGGAGGCATGTTCAAGGCATGCTTGTGATCACTCTAAACATGCTCAAGGCATGCTTGTTTTACATGTTTGAGACATGTTGAAAACATGTTCTAAACATGTGGGAATTGTTTGGCAGCATGCTTCCTCGTGGAGGGCGGCCAGGCCGCTCGGCGGCCAGATCGCTGTGGCCGCCCTGCATGGCCCTGCCCTGCCGCCTCCGCCTCCTCCTCCTCCTCCTCCTCCTCCTCCTCCTCCTCCTCCTCCTCCTCCTCCCCCTCCTCCTCCTCCTCTCCTCCTCCTCCTCCTCCTCCTCCTCCCCTCCCATCCTCCCCCTCCTCCTCCTCCTCCTCCTCCTCCCAATCCTCCTCCCTCCTCCGCCTCCTCCTCCTCTCCTCCTCCTCCTCCTCCTCCTCCTCCACCCTCCTCCCTCCTCCCTCCTCCCTCCTCCTCCTCCTCCTCCTCCTCCTCGTCCAGAAACCTTGAACCTCTTGGACAGCTTCTCCTTGGCGCCGCGCTCCGCGAAGGGCAGCGCCAACCAGGGCTGCTCGGCGAAGTACTCCTTGAAGGAGGCCTCGTCCCTGTCGGAGGACACGAAGACCACCTGAGGAAGAACACCACACCACGCACACACACAGTTGATGGCCCTGATTTCCACCACCACCACCAGAAGTTGGAGGGGGGACGGAGGAGGAGGAGGACGAGGAGGAAAAGGAGGAGGAGGAGGAGGAGGAGGACCGCTTCCAACTTATTGTGGTGGTGGTGGAAAACATGCCCACACATACAGTAGGGGCTCGACCACAGAATAGGGGAACAAACAATGACATAAACACAACAAATCGGAGGTACGCGCGGATTTCTGGGACCGGCACTGGGCCCCCCTGGCGGCGCCTCCGGCGCCGCCCCTGGCGCGCTCCGCGCGCCAGGGAGGGGTCCAGCGCGGATCCGAGAAATCCGCGCGGACCTCCGAGATTTTTACGTTTATTCCATTCTTCGTTCCCCTAAAGAAACCTTCCACCAGAAACCCAACCCGGAGACCCCAGGACGTCTAATGATTTTCGGTGTGGGAAAGTCACGCCTTCCACAGAAAAACCATCGAAACCCAAGAAACTCAGGGAACCCTGGAGGCAAGCAGGGTGTTTCTTGGCATGGGCCCCCGCTGTGCACGCAAACCGTCGGCGGTCCGCGCTGATTTCCAGACCCCCCTACCCTGGGCAAGAGAGGCACCATAATGCAACCAACTGTGATGCAGCCAGACCGACCGATCCGCGGACACCCGGGACACACTCGTATAGAGGCCTCCCCTGTGTGAGATGATGCGATGACATCGCTCGATCGCGCCGCATCGCCGATGCATCGGCGACGTCGGCAAGGAGAAAATCGGGCTCCAGATCGAGCCGTATCGCTGATGATCGGCGATGCGGCGCGATCCTCGGATCCCATCTACTCGGATTCGATTTCGGAAGGCCGGGCTGAAGGAACACAATCATACAGATATCGCTGCTGCCCCGAACCGCTCCCAAGATGCGCTCTGGCCAAAATTTCGAAGTGAAGCAAAGCTGGGGCGACGGGGAACGGAAATAATCTCAGACGTCGGGATAACCTGGGGTTTACGTCTGCTTCAGGGCATGCTTGTGTGTGACATGCTATATCAGCCCAACTGCTAATGTACTCTCACTGGTGCTCAAAAAGCGCGACCACACATACCACCACAGACACGGGCAAGACGAACCAGAACCGGCCAGGCAAATGTCTATATCTCTGAGTGTATACCTCTCTATACATACACACACACACACTAGCACCACGCTCGCTAAGCGCGCGTGGTTCTGGTCACAACTGGGCCATGGCTCTCGTTCTCGCTCGCGTCATCGGCGGCGCTGCGAATATCCCCGCATGTGGGTTTGCGGAACTTCCGTCCGCCTCGGCCCTCTGCTGTCCTCGTCCCTATCAGTCCTCGCCGTTGCTGTGATCCACCTCCTCCTGCTACTGTTCCTCCCTTTCCTTCTCTCTTCCCTCCTTGGTTATCCTTCTCTCTTTTCCCTGCTCCCTCTTTGCTCCTCTGTGGTCATTTTCCTCCTCCTCCTCCTCCTCTTCCTCTTCCTCTTCCACCTCATCCTCCTCTTCCGCTTGCACCTCCTCCTCCTCCTCCTCCTCCTCCTCCTCTTCCTCCTACTCCTCTTCCCCGGTTCCCGCTGCCCACTCCTCCCCTGCTCCGGGTGTCCTCCTCATCACTCGTCCCCTCCTCCCCAACTCCCCCCGTGCCCCTGATCCGGCATCTTGGATGTCCCGTGGGGGCTCTCGACGGCCTTTTGAAGGCGTCGTGGAAGCCGCTTGTAGGGCCTAGGGGGCTTAAATGAACCCTCGCGGAAACCTCAATGTTCCTCCCTCCTGCTCTTTGCTTCTTCTCCTCAACCTCTCGCGTCCTGGTTATCATCCTCCTTTCCCTCCTCCTTCTCCTTTTCCTCCTGTTCCTCCTCCTCCCTCCTCCTCCTCGTCCTCCTCCTCCTCCTCCCCCTCCCCCTCCCCATCCTCCTCCTCCTCCTCCTGCTCCTCCTCCTCCTCCTCCTTCTCCTCCTCCAACTCCTCCTCCTCCTCCTCCTCCTCCTCCTCCTCCTCTCCTCCTCCTCCTCCGCCTCCGCCTCCGCCTCCGCCTCCGCCTCCGCCTCCCCTCCGCCCTTTCCTCCTCCTCCTCCTCCTCCTCCTCCTCCTCCTCCTCCTCTCCCTCCTCCTCCCCTCCCATCTGCTACGCCTCCCGCACCGTCGATCAGAAGCCGTCGCGCGACTCGAGGGGGGGGACGAGGTTCGAAGATCGGGCGCTTCGTTGCAAAGGAAGTGGAGCTCTACAAGGCAGGTCATGCAAGCACACGAGCCTTGCCGACGGGATTCGCATACCTGGCGCGGCAGTCGCCCACCTCGCTTTTTCGAAGTGTAGGGGGGCCGCCTTCCCAAACTTGAGCTGGATGCCAGGGACATTTCGCCTCCTGGGCTTTCGCAACTCTGATTTGGGAAAGCGGGGGGCAGAACAGTTCGAAGACATCTTTGTGCCCCTGTCCGTACCAGTTCTACCACAAACGGTACAGTATAGCAGGAGCCCCGCCACAAGAAACCTTCACAAATCCGCCGACCCTGTCGGCGTGTGTGGGGTGTCTGCCCGGCCAGGTAGACGGGGAGCCTTCTTTCGCCCCCTCCTTCCCATCCTCCTCTCCCGTCGGGGGAGAGAGAGAAAGAGAGAGAAAAAAGAAAGAAATGGAGAGAGAGAGAGAGAGAGAGAGAGAAAACACCCTTCCTCGTTCGGGGAACGGGTTCGAAGCTCAAGGGAATCCCACCCACGCCCTCATTACGTCAGATGGAAGCCCCTTCCAATTGTCCCTTCCCCGGCGGGGAGGGGCGGGGCACGGGGGAGGGGGGGGTCAGATTCGCAACGCCTCTGGGGGACCTCCTCTCCCACGCCCGTCCTCCGCCGGCGCGCCGGTCCTCCTCGGCTCCTCCTCCCCAGGTGGGGAGGAGTCCCAGGGGGGGGAAGGGAGTCAGATACGCATCCGTCCATGGGGGTCCTCCTCCCCATCCCATCCCCTCTCCCACGCCGGTCCTCCTCCGGTCCTCCTCCCCCGGGGGGGAGGAATCCTTTTCCTCCTCCTGTTTCTCCTCCTTTTTTTCTCCTCCTCCTCCTCCTCCTCCTCCTCCTCCTCCTCCTCCCCCTCCTTCTCTCCGCCTCCTCCTCCTCCTCCTCCTCCTCCTCCTCATTCTCCTCATTCTCCTCCTCCCCCTCCTGGTCGTCGTCGATGTTTTTCAGGGTCGGCGGCACTGGCCGTCAGGCCTTTACAAGAAACCCAACCCTGAGACCCCAGGATGTCCAATGATTTCTGGCGTGGGAAAATCACGCCTTCCACAGAAACACCATCGAACCCCAAGAAACTCAGGGAACCCTGGAAGCAAGCAGGGTGTTTCTTGGAATGGGCCCCCCGCTGTACACATTTGGCAGCCTGCCTCCTTCGACCCAGCCGATTTCAAGGTTGTGGTGCAAGGATGGGGCTGACACTTACACCTCGAAAGAGCGGAGACATTTCAGCGCAGCCCATCTTGGAACTGGGGCTGACTCCATAAGCATAAAAACTCTGAGGTCCGCGCGGATTTCTCGGATCGGCGCTGGACCCCCCTCCCTGGCGCGGAGCGCGCCAGGGGCGGCGCCGGAGGCGCCGCCAGGGGGCCCCAGCGCCGATCCGAGAAATCCGCGCGGACCTCCGAGTTTTTATGCTTGTGTCACGTTTTGTTCCCCTATCCTTCCAAACATGTGGGGCAACAGAGACGGGTGCCTTGCCAAACAGGTTGGTGCTTCGACACGAAGGGCCGCGGCCCAGCCTGCCTGGGAAAACGCCATGGGGACCCCAAACAGCAGACGAGCGGAGAGCCACTCGGCCAGGACTTTGGCAGCACCGTCTGTAATGAACTGTTCAGCCTCCAGGCTCTCAGAAAGTTCGTCCTCCTCCTCCTCCTCCTCCTCCTCCTCCTCCTCCTCCTCCTCCTCCTCCCCCTCCACCCTTTCCTCCTCCTCCTCTTCTTCCTCCTCCTCCCCTCCCATCTGCTACTCTTCCCCCACCCTCGATCAGAAGCTCTCGCGCGCCTCGAGGGGGGGGGACGAGGTTCGAAGATCGGGGACTTCTTTGCAGAGTAATTGGAACTTCTACAATGTACTAATCAGCTTCTGGGTTCTCAAGAAGTTCGTCCATGTCAGCTGGAGCCGCAGCGTGCGCCTGGGCTCCGTGTGGGGACGGCTTGGGTGCTCCCTGAGGGCAGCCCCTGAGACCGTCTGGAGGCGGGTGGTGGCACTACTAGGGCCGGTCTGGGACGATGTCATGCCGACACGGGCGCGGAACTCCGACGAAGTTCAACAACTGTAGGAGGAGGAGGAGGAGGAGGAGGAGGAGGAGGAGGCGGTGGGGGATTGTATGGGGGCCGTCTGGGAAGCCCTCGCTGAGCGTGTCGGGAGCGCGGTGGGCCATCTGGAGGCGACCAGGGGCCTCGGGGAGTGGTTTTTCTGGCGACTCGGTGCTCGGTGCCTGTGCGGGCTGCAGTACACCCTGCGACATGCTTTAGAAATCATGGGTTAAGAAATTCATAGTCTCAGAATTTGAATAAAAACCCCAACATTTCTATCAAAATCTTGGGATTTACATTGAAACATTAAGAATAAGCGAGACTCTGGCCGAAAACTTGGGTATTCTTAAGCATCGCCCAGGGTGTACAAGCGTCGTGGGGCAGCTCTGGGGCCTTCTTGGCGAGGTGTGCGCCCTGTGGGGAAGCCCCTGACACCGTCTTGCAGCGGGCGAGGGCGCGACAAGTCGAAAAGGCGGGGCCCCTCCCCCAAGCGCTAGAAACCTGTGGAAAACCAATGTTCTGTCGTTCTTGGGGCCCTCTTTGGAACCGCCTGGGCACCCTCGTGCAGCGTCTGTGCCGTTTTGGGCCGTCTGGAAGCCTTCGTGGAGTGCCCTTGGAGCAAAGTGGGCCATCTGCATGCGACCACGTACGTCTGGGCATGATTGTCCGGCACCTCGGGGGCGAATCGGCGCCTTGTTGGGCTGTTACGGCGGTGTTTTGGAGCGGCTTTGGGGCCTCGTTGGCGGTGCGGGCGCCCTTGGAGGAGCCCCTGACACAGTCTTGAAGCGGGCCGCGTCGGCAATCCGAAGACGCCGAAACCATGCAAAACGTAAAAGAACGAAGGGGAAGCATTGAATTGTGTGTCCTGGGTTTTTTGGTTGGCTGTCTGGGAACCTTCTGGCACCGTCTGGGGAACGGTGTGCGCCGTCTGGGAGCCATCGTGGAACGCCTTCGGAACGTGTTGGGCCATCAGGAGGCGACCGCGGGCGTCTGGGAATGATTTTCCGGCGACTACTGTCGGACCTAGGCCAGAGTAACATCCTTCAAGAACATGAGACCCTCCGTCGGCCAAAACAAACAGAACATCGAAGCATACCCTCCCCAGGATGCACAACAGCATCCAACAAGCACGAATATTACTAAGGTACCATCAACGAAACGACCCCGATCTTATACCTCGGTCCGACTGTCGGGTGAAGTCGGTGCCCTTCTGGGCTGTCCTGGAGGTGTCTTGGGGCAGCTTTGGAACCTCCTCGAAGCTCTGGGCGTTCCTGGGTGGAGCCTCTGAAACCGTCTTGAAGCTGGTGGTGGTGCTTCTGGGACTGGGTTGGAGCGTCGGCAAGCCGAAAAGGCGGCACCCCTCCAAACACATTTGAAACAATCACCCGGAAACACGCATGCTTTGTAGCTCTTGGGGCACTCCTGGGGACAGTCCGGGAACAATCTTGCAGCGTTCGAGGCGCGGCTTGACCCGTCTGGAAGCCTTCGCGGGGCGCCTCGGGGGAGCGGTGGGCCAGCTGGAGACAAGCACGGGCGTCTGGGAGCGATCTTCCGGCGTTCCCGAAGCGCCTCGAGAGCCCCCAGTCGCCTCTCGGGCACCCCTGGGGCCCCCGTGCCCGCCATGCGCTGTCGAGCCCCAGGCCCCGGGCCCCCAGACATCGCAGACGGGGATGTACACACACCTGTACAGATACGTATACGTATGCATATACTTGTGAATAGACGTACAGACATAAGTAGACGCATGGAATGCATAAGCATAGACATATACATATGTCTATACATGCACATAAACGTATGCAACACTTTACGCAGACTAATACACAAGCGCATATACACATACATAGACACCTACATATACATATACAAATACATACGCATGAACATATACATCTACATTGGCATGTGCATATACGCAAACATATGCATGCGCACACGCATAACACAAACACATACACATACACGTACATACATACACATACATATACATATATACATACATGCGTACATACATACATACATACATACGTACGTACGTACGTACGTACATACAGACATACATACATACATATGCGTACACATGTGTGTACACACATATATATATATATATATATATATATATATATAAACATGTATATACACATATGCAATTCCATGTACGTCTACGTGTAAACATACATATGCACAACTCAGTCAGAACCATATGCATGTACTTGTGTATATGTACATGCACATGCACACATACATACACACCCAAACACAGATTCATTCACCTCTACATATAAGAGCACCTACATATACCTATACATACACATAACCATTTGTACATCAACACATCCAGACATACATTCAGATATAACTGCATGCGTACAAACAAACACACATGCATGCATGCGTGCGTGCATGCATGCACGCATGCATGCATACACACAGACATACAACCTGCGCACATACATACAACCTACCTACATACAACCTACTTACATACACATACATACATACATACATATATATACACATACGGACAGACAGTCAGACAGACAGACAGACCGACAACACATGCATACATGCATACATGCATACATACATGCATCCATGTATACATACATACACACATGCATGCATGCATGAGTACGTTCACCCAATCCATCCTTCCATCAATCCATGCGTACAAGAGGCGTACATAAATGCATGCATACATGTATACATACAAACATGACTACATGCATACATACATACATCCATACATACACACACACACACACATACACGCATGCATGCATGCACACATACACATATGCGTGCAAACCACCATGGTGATTCCGCCGATACGCGGAATCAGCACACGTGTCCCTCCCCTGACGCATCGCGTCAGGACTTGCCCCCCCTCTGCACCTCCAGGCCCCTGGCCTGCAGGTCCTTCTTGTACCTGGAGGACACCACAAACCACCGCCCCCGGCGACCGTGCTCGGAGCACTCCGCCGTGCGGGGGTCCCCTGCATCGGCGCAGGGCCCCACTCCCCCCCGAAGTGGCGCGGGAGGCGCCCCCCCCCACCCCAGAGCCCCCGACAGCCCACGCGCGTGCCGCGTTTCCGTCCCTCGCCGGCGAGCCTTCCACGACGACGCTGGACGACGACGACGACGACGACGACGACGACGCGACGATGACGACGACGACGACGACGGCGACCACTACTACGACGACGACGACTACGACCACTACTACGACGACGAAGACGACGCTCGACGACTACGACGACGACGCTCGACGACGACGACGACGACGACGATGACGACGGAGACGACGGAGACGACGACGAGGGGTGGAAGTGAGAAGGGGCGGGCCTTCTTAGAAGGCTCAGAAGCCCCTTGGCCTTCCGAGAAGTCTCCTAAAGAGCCGCCTTCCCCGACGATAGCGAAACCGCTGCCTTGAAGGCACGAGGGCCTCTGAGGAGTCCGGCCGCCTTCTGAGAGGCCTTCTCCTTCTCACTTCCCCCCCGGGCGCGCCGCCGAATTGGGTTTTTGGGTCATAACTCGGGTCTCTGGCGGCCGTTCGGGACGATCCGGGCACCCCCGGAACGCCCTCGGCGAGGCGCAGCTGCTGGCGAGCATCCCGAGGCTAGAAGACCGCCGAGAACCGACGTAAGCGTCCGAAAACCTCCAACCTCGAACCCGACCTCGTTCGCCGCAGAATCGGGGCCCCGTCTTCGAGCCGCCGATGTTTTTTCCCTCGGGCGCCATTCGGCGAGCTGGGGCGTGAAGGCGCGGCACGGCGGGCACCAGTGCGCGCTGAAGTAGAGCGCGACGGCGCCCTTGCCTGCGAAGGCCGCGGCGGTCTCGGTGACCTTGCCGCCGGGGCCCAGGAGGGAGCCTCGGGAGTCTCAAGCGCGCCGTGGAGCTCCACAAAGACTCCCAGCACGGCCCCATGGAGCTCCTGGCCCATGGAGCGTGCCCCAGTCCCGATCGCGTCGGGAAAAAAACACCGGAAATGTTTGGCCGTTTGCGGCCTCGGGGGGTCCTCGCCAGGCCTCGGGGCGCCGTCAACAAACGACTCGGGATGAAAAGCCCGTCCCGGGGAAAGGGTCGGGACTTCCAGAGACCCCGTATTGAGAAAATCGGGCCGCCGCATGTCTGGGGCTGGGACTCTTCATGAGCGCGCTCCACGAAGACCCATTGATGGGCCTGTTTCCCACCACCACCACCACCATAAGTTGGAGGGGGGAAGGAGGAGGACGAGGAGGAGGAGGACGAATAGGAGTAGGAGGAGGAGGAGGGGGAGGCTCCCCCTCCAGTTTATGGCGGTGGTGATTGAAAACTGGCCCATCACCCATGGTCCATTGTCTACGGGTCATCGTGCAGCGCGCTTCGGGGGGGGGGGGGGAGGAGGCACCACCACCAGGCAGGTGCGCATCCCTGTTGTTTACCGAAAGACAGCGAAACTGAGGCGATGCAAGAGCACATGAGGTCAGCTCTTATTGCTGTCAGCGCAGTTCTTTTAGCTCGGACTGCGCAGCAGTCAAAACTGCGGGTGCGTCCCAGGGCCCTAGGACTAGGGCCAAAACAGCGGCGGGCAGCGTGCATGCCACAAAACAAGACAAGCGTGTACATCATACACACATGGTGGCACGGGCGGCAGAGGGGCAGGGGAGTGCACTCTTCACACTGGGTGAGTACAATGCTGCCCCGATGCCGCTCCCTTCGAAAGGGAAACGCTGCACGCAATTATAATGTATATCAGCCCACAGGCCGAAACATCTCAAGCAAATGCGGCCTGAGGCTCAAGATATAAATGTAAAATATGAACGTCTAGATTCACTAATCCAGACTGTCAACTCAAAAGATATGCATGAAACACCTCAAGCAAAGTGCGGCCTGAGGCTCAAAATACAAATATAAGAATATGAATGTCTGGATCCACTATTCCAGACTATCAACTCAAAGGATATGCATACATCACCGTAGCCCTCACTAGGTCCATCAGCAGCTGCCATCAGGACCTCATGGGCTCGCAGGCCCTGGAACGGCGACCCGACGCTGGGCCTTCCGCTCCTTGGCTCTCTCACGCTGTCCGCGGCGCAGCCGCAGACGGTGTGCCTCCTCATCCTCTTGCTCAACAGTAGGCACCATGCTGAACAGTCCGTGGCGGAGGAACTGCGATAGCACCTCGTTAGGCTGCACGGCCTTTGTCAGCACGTCCGCTAGCATGTGGCTATTAGGCAGCCACTTGAACTTGATGGCCTCCTGCTCTATCAAATCCTTGGCCACCAACAAGTCAACGAGGGTCTGCCGAGACACCGGCATCGAGCCGATCTTGGACGTGTGATCGTAGAGCGACTTTGCGTCCGTCACCAGCGCCCCTGGAACCTTCAGCGCCAGCCTCCAGTCCCCTTGCAAGGGCGGCTCCCCGTGCAAGATTGCCTCAATCAGCAGCCTGAGGTAAAGCTGCCGATCCAAAGCCACGGACATAGCCGCAGACTCTGCGGCCATCGTAGATCCAACAACTCGTATAATAGTACTGCTCTGAAACTCCACTTGACAGCATACAGTTAGCTCCTTCAACACTCGGGTATCCGTAATCATACTCATGAACCCCACCTGGCTCTTACAGCCGGCTTCCTTCGCAAACGAAGCGTCCATAAGCGTGAGCACCTGTGAGCGCTCGATGTCCACGCGGCGGATCCGGAGAGTCGCAAGACCTCTCTTGTCGTAGTCCTGAAGCCGGTCGATGATGTCATTGAGCACTCGCAGGTGCAGTAACCTCCGACCTTTCGGATCCTTCTGTGCGAGCGCCGAGACACTATACGCGAGCTGTAGCACCACGCGTGCGACAGGCCACCGCACCTTCTGGAGCAGGCTCTGGAAGTCGTGGTGCTCCTCGGGAGTCATCTCCCGCTCCTCGTCGCCACCCCTTGCAAGGGGGTGCTTTGTCAGCTTGCCGATGTACTCGTGCATGCTGGTCTCGATGTGATCGGGGTGGCGCCACCACTCCTCACCGAGATAGGCGACTGCCTCCTTGTCGTTGCCCCCCTTCCAGTGCTTGATGTTGAAACGACTGTTGATGTTCGCCTTCACCTCCTGGTACTGGGGGTCGTGCGGGTCTCCAAGCAGCATGCCGTCGTCGACGTGCAAAGTCAACATAGCAATCAACTTATCGCTCATCCGATAAACGAAGACAGCTCGAGCACAGCGCAGCTCCACGAAGCCGACCTCGTCCGTCAACACCTGGCGGGCTCGGAGATGCCGCAACCGAGGCGCCTCCGTCAAACCGTACGCCCCTTTCAGCAAGCGAAGCAACGCATAAGGTCGCACGGCTGGCCATCCAGCACCGTCGACGGCTGGAAGCCCGTCCTTAGGAGCCCTCACATACAGCTCCCGTTCCAGCTTCAGCCCGGACAGGAACGCAGTCGCTACGTCGAAGCACTCGAATGTCCAATCCATCGCCATTGTGATAGACGCACACACCAGCACAGCCAAAGGGGAAGTAGTAGGCGAATCCGTCCTGAATAGACCAAGCTGCGGGTCGAGATGGCCAGGGATGATCAAGCGCGACTTCGCCTACCGAACGCATGGGCACCGAGATGCTCTTGTCCTTTGGGATGCTCTTCTCCTCCTCCTCGGTGACCAGCTCGACCGTGTTGTTGGCGATCCATTGCCGCCACTCGGCGGCATCGGCCTCGTCGAACTTAGCCTTCTCGTGCTGGTTGAAGTGACGTGGGTCTAACTCCTTCGCGTTCTGCTTCATCACGAGTGCGAACACGTCGTGCTCGTACCGGGCCTCCTGCAGCCATGCGTCATACACAGATGACACGTTGATCCATTCCTCGTAAGTCATCGGCTGCCGTACAAGACCCTCCGGAGTGTCCAAATAGTACACCCCTTGTGCCTGAGCGTCCGGCTTGTCGTGGTAGAAAAGCGTGAGACCAACCCAGCTGTCCTCCGTGCGCTCGTTGGTACGGCTCGCGCCGTCGTCCTTGTAGGCACACTGGCCCGTGGCGGAGAGCATCACCGACAGGCGATTGCACTCCCGGTGGCGGTCGTGATCATAGAGTCTCCGCCGTGGCTCTCGATGTACGCGTACTCCTCGTACGACCTTCTGAACGAGCGTGGAGACACCATCCAAGGCATTCTGGTCGAACCACTCCTGGGGTCCCGAGTGCACAACAGCGTCCATGGCCACCTCACGGAGGGCCGGCAAACCACTCGTAGGAGCAGCCTGCAGACGCGTCTTCTTGATGCAACTCGGCACGTCATCTACCAGGAACTTCCGCTTGCGCTCAAGCTCGAAATCGTCTCTGGGAATCGGCGGCACCGAAGGGCCGCCAGAGCCCGATGCTCCCGGAGAAGCCTTCGGGTACGTCTCAGAGGATATCCGGCCTGGAGGGGAACGGGACCGCGCCCTCCTCGGAAGGGGGAAGCTGCGGCAGCTGCTGCTGCTCAGGCGGCTCCTCCTCCTTAGCCTGTGCCTCGATGGCGTCCAGGGCCCTTAGGTCCACGCGAGGCTGCCTGGACCCCTCGAGCTCCCTATGTCGGCCACGCTCCTTCTTCAAGAATGTCATCTTCACCTTCTGAACCTTCACCTTGGGCGTGACGTCCACGATGTCGTGGTAGGCGCGATCATCTCGCTGCTGTGTCAGCCGCACGCCCGTCTGGATGGACTCCGCAGCTGCGGCCTCCTGGGAGGAGGCGTGCCGGAGCTGCTCACGAGCAACAAGTAGCACGTGACCAAGCCATGACACGTAGTACCGGCTGTTGGATTCCTTCGCGATCACAGTCGCAGGGCCCCGCCATCTTTGAGGATCTTGCCGACGACGTCCCTTGAACGGATTCGGTGCCCAGAAATGCACCCTCGATCCTGGGCACAGATCTCCGACGACCGTCGGCGCCTGTCGTAGCAGCGCCCTCCGCACCTTGTCCGTCGCGTCGCGCTCCAGCAACATCATCTTTGCTGCGGTGCGGATTTGAGACGAACGCCAAGCTATGCCCTTGGCGCCGAGAACCGACATGAGAACCTCATCGTCGTCCCTGTTAGTCACCTCCGTAAAGTTCAAGATCCGCCCGAAGACAGCCTGCTCCGGGGTCAATCCATTGCGGCTGATCGTCGAGTTCTTCGCATTGATGATGGCGGCCAGGGCCACAGAAGACATCGACTTGCCCTGGACGTGGAACTCGTGCACCACCTTGCCCCAGATAGTGCCGAGCAATCCTCCGTGGCGCTCTGCCAGGCCATGCTGCCAGGCTGCATGAGCTCCCGTCGTCTTCGTATTGATGCCGAACTGCTCCATCAGCGCGTTGAAGTAGCCCTCGAACTCGCTGCCCTGGTCGATCACGATGTTCTCTGGCACACCGTAATGCTTGAACCACTCGTTCATGATCTGGCGTGCTACGTGCTTAGCCGTCCTATTCTTGAGAAGGCATGCGCAGTGCCATCCCGTACAAGCATCCACCATGCTGAGGGCCACCAGCTGCTCCTTGGCCGCGTCCCGTAGGTACTTCACGTCGATCACAACCGTCACATTGAAGCCGAATGGTCGCACATCCGCCGTCCCCTGCACTGGACGGGGCGGCGCCTCCGACTCGGCACAAGCCGGACACTGCCAATGCTTCGCGTATGCCAACGCGTTGGGCGTTGCACCGCCGAGACGCAGCATCTTGATGAACGTCGGTCGACTGGGGTGTCCGAGACCGCGATGGGCCTTCCGCACAGCACGTCGCGTACTCCGAGGAATCTTCGTCTGATGTCCTGCCGCACCACCTCCGGAAGCTCCATCTCTGACCAGGAGGCTGCAACCTCCTCCTCCTCCGCAGGGTGCTGCATGGACTCCTCCTTCACCGTCTTCTGCAATGCCTCGCGAATCTCGGCTCGAATATCCT